ATTGGAGAGAACCTTTTCCTTCTACAATTAATCTTTGAAACCTCTTCACATGTTACTTCACCTAACCTATGAAGGAAATTGCATTCATACAACCTATTGCAACTGTAATCTCCATTTATGCAACCAAATCTCTATTTATTCAACCAGATCAAATTTTGTCATTACAGAGAAAGACTATGGTGTGCTGTAAATCAGGTATCATGAGTTCATTATATGCTTATTGTTCCAAGTTTATCACATGCTTAACAGCTTCATAATTATTATGTATTTGAGAGATTTACTATACAAAATTACCTGAAGTGTGTATGCAGGAGCTGAGAGTAAATGATCATAATAGTAGTTTCTGGCCTTAAAATCTGTTAGTAAATATGCTACTCCTGTTTGTCTATTCTTGCCTTGATCTGAAGCTGATGATTTTCTACTTCTTTAAATTACCAAGAAGATACTAAACTGTAATTCCTATCTCATTCCAAATTGCATTTTTATATTTCAGGATATTTGTACAGTACTCTCAAAAATTGTTTGGAAAGAAACATTGTTAGTGCAAATTTATATCTAGAATACCACAAAAGGCATTTTCAAAGGCCTTCAAGCTGATATGTAGGTCTACAAGGTCTCATTCATTTGCCAGTGTTTGTATGCAGTCTGTATTTATGTATGTCTGCATAGTCTGATGAAAAATCTCTTTAGAATTTGCTTCAATAACATTCCAAAGATAAACTATGTGACTATTTGGCAAGTCTAATCTATGACATCAGTGTGTACTGATGGTGGCTTTATTCCACCTTTTGTGACTCCATTTTTCGGTACTGATGAGCACACGTGGCAGTGAAGTAGTCAAATATATTGGAAGGGTCTATAGGTCTTGTTAAGCTCTGTCAGTTGAACTTGAGTCACAATTTACTAGAGTGAAAAGTGTCAAAGCTTGACAAGTTTAAAAAGGAAGTATAATATTAACTTTGTTTGGGAACATAAAAGTAGGTCTCGGTCCTGAGAATTACAGGCCTCTGATGCTGGGAATTATATGGTATGATTTAAGAATGCATTCTGGAAAAATCCCATAAAGCTCAGCTCCATGCTCCTGTGATCCTGAGACTGCAAAACTATAGGGTCAATCTCACCAATATGTGGAAATTCGTATCTGTAAGCTTATTCATTCCAACTACCAACAATGTGGGACCAATGATGAAAACAGTTTTGAAGAAGACTGTTTTTCTCTACTCACAGCCTTTGTTTTTTATAACGATTATCTAAGTAACTTCTTAACTTCTATGATACAAAGCAGCCAGCTTTGATTTAGAATCAATGAGCTGTGCATCACAGTACTTCACTGCACATTGTGAACTGTCCTTTCACCATCACAATAGATGGACATGAGAACATGTCTTCAAATTCTTTTCTCTTTATGCTGCTACAATGATAGAGTCATATGGACTCTCTTCAGTGCTGTGAGGTAGATCTTGCAAGGCCAGGTGGTATTTTCAGGCCTTACTTTATCTCATTGTTGAAACCTGATTTAAATCAGTATCTTCAAATGCAGAAACATCAGGGCTTATTTTCCTAAAAAGATATTTATACTTTATACACATACTGTGCAACATTTATCTAGTATACTAGTTATATCTAAGTATCTATATCTACCTATCTATATGTGTCTATATCTTTGTCGATGACATGGACAGTGGGATTGAGTGCACCCTCAGCAAGTTCGCTGATGACACCAAGCTGTGTGGGGCAGTCACAGCTGGAGGGAAGGGATGTGCCGTCCAGAGGGGCCTTGACAGGCTTGAGAGGTGGAACAATGCAAACCTCATGAAGTTTAACAAAATGAAGTGCAAGGGCCTATATCTGAGCCATGGCAATCCCAGGCACAGCTACAGGTTGGGTGGGGAAGAAATTGAAACCAGCAGTGAGGAGAAAGACTTGGGAGTGACAGTGGATGAGAAGCTCAGCATGAGCTGTAGTGTGTGCTAGCAGCCCAGAAAGCCAATCGAATTCTGGGCTGCATCAAAAGGAGTGTGGCTAGCAGGTCAAAAGAGGTGATTCTTCCCCTCTACTCTGCTCTCATGAGATCCTACCTGGAATACTGTGTGCAGTTCTGGTGTCCTCACCATAAGAAGGGTATGGAACTGTTGGAGCAAGTCCAGAGGAGGCCACGAAGTTGCTAAGAGGACTGGAGCATCTCACCTGTGAAGACAGGCAGAGGAAGTTGGGGCTGTTCAGCCTGGAGAAGACTGTGTGGAGACCTCATAGGAAGTTTTCAATAACTGAAGGGCCTACAGGGGAACTGGAGAGGGACTCTTTGCTAGGAACTGCAATGATAGGACAAGGGGTAATGACTTCAAATTGTAGTAGGGGAAGTTTAGGTTAGATATTAGAAAAATGTTTTTTACTGTAGGGGTGGTGAGACAGGTTGTCCAGGGATGTGGTAGCTGTTCCAGCCCTGGCAGTGTTCAAAGCCAGTCTGAATGAGCCTTGAGCATCCTGGTCTAGTGGGGAGGTGTCCCCGCCCATGGCAGGGTGGTTTAGGACTAGATTATCTGTAAGGTCCATTCCAACCCTTAAATTCTATGATTCTATGATTCTATATATTCTAAACTTCATTAATTAATCTAACTCTGAGGCCAGCAATGCTTTTATTTATCTATCGGACCCTGTAATGTTTCCTAAATGTGGTCAAACATAACTGCTGTCATCATAATCAGAGCCAGTTGTTTAAATGCTCAATTGTGAGTATCTAGTGAAATAGTTTTAAATAACAAGATAAACAGTGCAGCTGCCAACCCAAAGTAATCTTGCACTGAGGGGGTGTGTGGCACAGAAAATTTCCTCTTTGTCATTTTGATTTGAGTTTGAAGCTGGACCTGGGCTTAGTTCCAGCTCAAAAACACTGTTCACTTCAAAGGCTCCTAAATCGTCCCAAGGAGCTAATTTTGGCAGTCGATTGTTTTTGTTTGGCCAGGCATCCTAATAGCAAAAGCCGTCTGCTCCAGCAAATGAAGATTTCCTCAGCGCTCAGGCTTACAATTCCTGATTTTATTCTGATGTGGGAGGTGTACACCTGTTGTTGGTTTCCCTGTCTCACCCCAAGTTCACTACTTTTCTTGTTAAACTGTACCTAACTGACCAGTATGTAAATTAAAAATGTACTTCCTCTTTTAAAAATAAAGGATACTGTATTCTGCTCTGAACTACTTCTTAATCATAAATTCTTGATGTATTATCTGCTTGCTTTCTGAGCAACTAGGGCTGGTTTGTTCATTTCTTTCCATTCCCATGAACAATATTAGTTTGGTTAGTTTATTGAATTAAATATAACCAGCTTCACTTTAGTAGGAAACCATTTACAGTTGTGCTGGAAATATTATAATATTTATTATAATAAATATATGGACAACTTTTCCTGCAGTAAGAAAGTGCTTGTGATGCCACACAGACACTGACAGTTAAAATACTGTGCCATTCTTAAGGTATAATATGAAAATATGCAAATAGGCTGTTTCTCTTGGGTTAGAAATTGGTCAGTACTAGGCATACAGAAACATTTAAAAGCAAATCTTGCAAGCATTTAAGAATGGAACAGTACTCACTTTCACACCACACAGAGAGTATTTAAATTTGATCATATATGTCTACATTGCTATTTTAAGATTTATGCATCAGAATTCTGGAGGAATCATACCAAACAAAGTGAAGTATGAGATATAAGAAATTGCATGGTCACATTTTAGCAACTTATAGTGCAGACAAAACTCAGGTGGGCCCTGTCATTGTCTGCATGAAGTCCAGAAATCAGAGTTGCTCTGTTTATGAAGATGCAGTTGAACTGCCATCTGTGCAGTTGCTAAATCCACATTATCCAGGGACTGATAATTCTGATTAATGCCATAAAAAAAAAAAGTTTTCATTTTGTTTTGAAGAGAAAGTCAAACCTTCCAAATTGTGAAATGCATTGAAAAGGTAAAAAATTTAGCTTTCATACTTTCATAGCCTCAGATGTTTTATGAAGACATTGCAGTTCCATGAACTTTTGTAGAGCATCATGTTGACAATAGAAAACAGTAGAAAGTGTTCAGAACAACTTCTTCCCTTAAAATGAATCATCAGATCCTGGAAAGTTGAGAATTCATCTATGGCATGTTACTTTCTGTGGTAAAAAAACTAATAATTTTAATGCAAAACAAGTACTTGCTATTGTTATACTATTTTCAGTATTTCAGCGTCAAAGAAAATAATTTTATTAAGAATGCTTTAAAATCTTGATCTTAAATACCGTGGACTTGCTAATCATTTACCATAAGCAATTATTAGTCAGTAACTAAATCATAGTATTGTTCAGAATACTTTGTTCATTTTCCTTTCTTGTTTGTTGGCTGAATTGGCATTGTACCCTTAAGGCACAGATTCACTTCCATTTCTCTTATTCAGTTTAGACTTGTAAGCATTTTCATGTTAAAATATTTCATGTAATAACCAAGACGTTTTCCTGGAAAAACAAATGCATTCAGCAATCACTCTGCTGTATTTTTTTCTAATCAATTTGTTGCCACTAATGCTTATTTAATTTATATTCATTTTTTAACAGTTTCTCATGGAGCTAGTTTAATATCCATATCTTAATGTTAACCAAAGTAGAAAAGTTAAAACATTGCAATGTTGTCTTGCTGACTTTAACCTGCCCTGTTGCCAGGGAGGATAATACACTTTTGTATACCAATCTAGTTTCTAGAGCAGGAAATTTTTGCAGTGCTTATAGTTGCTGAGAGTTTGAAATACATACTTGCTTGCAATTAAATCAATCTTTGTGCTCTTCTTCAAATTAATATTCATATAATGTAAAAATATGTGTTTCATAGTCAGTATTTTGCATAATTTGCAATCTAACTCATATAATGAAATGCAACTAGAAGACAATATTTAGAACTCTAAAATACCTTTTTAAAAGAAGGTAAAACTATTTAAGCCAAACTTAACTTTTTTTTTCTTTCTTATTTCTTTAGGACTTTCAAACAGTGCTGCCATCGATTGTTGTCTTCGAAAAGTTTGGAAAAACTTATTCCAGCACTGGGCAAATCGTGTAATTGTCCTGTAAACTACACCATATAAGATGCCTGATAAGGAATCAATAAACGTATTTTAGTGAATGCACAGCAACATGTTGACTTAATGTCCCATAAATGCTTTTTCTGTGAAGTGATGTTATTTGATTTTGCTTGATCTTTAAGCAATATGGCTTCCAAGATTTATAAGGCAAAAAATGTATGTTTTGGTTTTGCAAGAAAAAAAATTAAGAAAATTCTTTCTTAGATGTTTTGTTTAATATAAATAATTTAACACACAAAACCAGAGCCATCAAGTAAAATACTTGGAATCATATTTATTTATTATGGATTTGTATGTGCGGTTAAGACTAAAAAAAAAAAGAAAAATAATTAAAATTAACAACTGTTTTGGTTTTTTTCCCTCACAACTGTAAGTGTATCTAATTCATCACAGCTTCATTTTCAGTGTTGTTAGTCATCCTTTTTGGATGCTGATCCATGTCTTCAGAAATGCAAGATTGTCATGGAAGATAAGATACTTTTAGCACTTCTGTGGGTGATAGAAATTCAGTGCAGAAAAAATAAAGTTATGACAACATATATACCTTATTATTAGATCAGTTTTTCTATATCCACTTAATTTTCTTTATCACTAGCTGTGCTAGTCCCATGTTATGTGAGTACATATTTGTGTGATGCTTGGCAAAGAACACGTTCGATGATACAATTTGCTCCGTTCACTAGCATGCAATCCTGCAAAAAACTAAGTATCCTTACAGCCCATCCACTTCAAAAGGCTCAAAGAATTCAGCATCATGGGAAGCATTTCTAAAGGGCAAATAATAATATGATAATTCATAAAATCGTGGGAGTGAATTTTTACAGGAGTTTTATGCTGAATTCTCTATAATGCCATCTTTGCTTTTCATATCATTTAACTATATTTGAATCAAATATGTCTGTTTATCTGTTACTGTGGTGGCTTTTTATTACCAAAGGAGGGTTGGAACTGTTTGATCTTTAAGGTCCCTTCCAACCCAAATCATTCTATAAATCTATGAACTGGAAGTCACAAATTTCCCTTCTGCAGGTTCTCAGTTGTCAGCCTATGTGAAGTCTTACTGCTATCACAGTAAAATTCCTTTCAATTCCATTCCAGTAGGTTGCAAGTCCAGGCACTGGGCTGTACGGGTGTTACTCTTTGGAATTAATTTCAAGCTTTAAAATTTTTTTTTCTTCTGCATGGCAATGAGAAATTAACTCTGGGAAGTGGAGCAGCCACCTCAGTGAATGAGTCTCCCCAAAGAGATTTAATCTGATCGAATGTATCAGAGTGCTTTAGTTGTTCCTGGAAGGGATTGAACATGAGACACTTGTGCAAAACTGTTGATGAATAAAGATGGCCCAATAATTTTTATATGTGAGAGCTATCTATTTGATTGCTTCAGCTTTAAGGTAGTTCATCACAGTAATTCACCCTGTGTTGCCTCTTCAACTTCATACCACAGTTTCCCATCAGTCCGATTAGAAATGGCAATGCCTTTATCAGATTAATCTTTCTTTCTCTTTCTTTCTTTCAGTGTCTCTGACCCCAGAAAAAACAAAGTGTACCATGCAGTCTGTACTGCATTGATGGTAGTGCTCATAGCTGAGTGTCCAGAGCACAGATGGAGGTTAAACCCAACACTTCTATTTGTAATTGTTTGTTATGCACACACCTTTCCTCCTCTTACAAAAAAAAACCCCAAACACTCAAACTTTTCTGTTTCTAAGCAGATAGCTGCTTGCCAGAAACCTTCTTACACAAAAACAGGTCTGTTTATTTTATTCAATAAATAAACATCCACAAAATTAATAAAGTAGCAAACATATTACCTGTGAGGTTTGGGTTTTGGGCTTCTTTTGCCAATTATATTTCATAGCGAATTAAATTCTTTTCTTTATCTGGAGTTCAAACAGAATTTATGTCATTCATGAGCATGGAGCATCTAGACTAGTTTGTGTGGCCACACTATAATCCCAGAATCCTTTTATTTCTCATTAAGTAAATTCAGCACTTATTCAGGACATTTACACAAACCCTTTGATAATTATTCTAGAGGGACCTTTACCAACTCTTTCATTATGTAGAGACTTTTTATCATTTTTATTGCTCTCCTAAACAGCATATAAACACATGCAGAGGATTGACAGAGGATTAACTTGAATGTATTTTTAAATATAAAGCATATCAATCTCAGAAACCTTAGCTGGATCTTGACTTTTTACTCTATTTTTAACTCTCAACCAAATACTGCTCAGACCAAGAACCTTTGTGAGCTTGAACGTAGAGAACCTGTCCCTACATTTTCTCTATATATGGATGAGGCTGATAGACAAAACTCCCAATATTAAAAAGAACAGCTAGTAAGAACTTAAGAACCAAGTCTTGGGAAACCTTCAGCATGTGGTACTCCCTTGATTACAAAAGAAGCTCACAATTCATCATATTATAGTGCAAGGCACACCAGTTTTTTATTATGTAGAGGTATTAGACATCATGGACCATTCAAAAAGTAATTTTGAAGCGAATGTTGCCAAATCTGCAGTGTACAGGAAAAGAGATAAAAGATAAATGTTAGTCCTGGGATGAACCTAATTTCTATGACCTGGGAACAGACTACCACTTCCATTTGGTAACACTCTGTGGTAAGCCAGTGTATGTGTCTGCCTGGCAAAGAATATTTTGCTTTGCTCTCTTGCTTAAATCAAAATGTTTGCATGTAGCAAGCTTGCAGTTTATAACTAAAGCCAGTCACAGCTAAAATTTTGATATTTTTATTCACAGCAATAATCTAGTGAACAAGACAGTAAGAATTTTGATGATGTCTTTACATGACCAGATGTCTATCAGGATAAATATGTGGATTTACTTTATTCCTGTTTAACTTTCATATTGATATAATTTACCATATCAGTTTTAATATCAAATCACTTTTTCTAATGTATTTAACTAATGTATTTTTAATATTTCATTTGCTCGAGGTTTTCATTATCAATAAAATTGTTGTTTTATAACCAAATGGTGTGTACTTTATAGAAGATTTTTCTGGTTTATAGTTGAAGTTAAAACCTATTCTCACAGTACAAAATCTTAACACACAAGATTAGTATAGGTAAAGGCAGCAGGAAATGAGCACTCTGAAAATGTATAAGGGACTCCTGGATCTTGGTGAATCTACAAGATATGTAGCCCCTTAGAGATGTAGCTGGCTATGACATTTAGCAAAATTCTCACAGTAGTATCTGAAAATCAGAAAGAATCACTGTGATGCTAGCGAAATAATCCAATGTAAGAAATTCTGTATCAGTCTTCAGGAAAAGGAGCATAATTACTCAAATTGTCTCACTGACTGTATTTCAGACAATTGTAGTTGAACAACTGTGATAAGTAAATCGTACATAGCCAAACTATAGCAAAGGACCTGGTTGCTGTTTTCTGCTTTAACAAAATGTGGCCTTCAACATGAAGCAAGACAAGTGTGTTCCTTGCTTTTCAGCCAAACACAAGTAATTTTTGTAATTTGAACTGATCTAATCCACATGTACAGAGGGACAAAAAAATACTGTTGGGCTTTTTCATCCTACATGGTTGAAGAGGCTTGACAATACCTTTAGGAAGCAGCACATACTGGGAAGAACACATCATAGCATCTCACTAGGAGGCTATCTCTGAAACATCACTTAGATATTTTTGTCTAACATCTAAGTAGCCTGGAGCATAATACTTTGATGTCCACTTGTATCTGAGCAATTTGTACAGAACTTGAGAGAGTTAGGGTAGTTTGTTTCTGTATTAGATGCACTGGCCTACGTGGCAGGTGTTAAGGATTCAAAACCTCTTTGTACCTCTTTCCTAATCAGTGATCAATGATGTCAGATTTAACCACCACTGGGGATGGCAGCAGTCTATGTGCTAAAAGTTGCTCACAGCATCTCATATTCTGAGAAGCTTCGGTTGCATTAGAAAATGTCTGGTAACATTTTTTCTTACCAAACCTATCTGCTGTTGCTCAGAGAATTAAGGATATTTCAGTGTTGCTCCCCAATAGTTTTGTTTGACTGCTACATTGCTGATGTCGTAAACATGGAAAAGTCTTAATTTAGATAATTTAAGAACTGCCTTCTGGGCTGATCCAAGATGTTCTCGGCCCTTGTCAAACCTTTAGCTTGCAATGCCCTCTAGAGGCAGATTTGCCATAGTATTGGTGACCACAGATATGCTCTTCCAATACTGGAGCTTTCAAGAAACAGCTTTTGGGTTTTTCGTTATGATGTTTTATTTAATTAGTTCTTTTTTTAACATTATTTTTATTTCATTTTATTTATTTTTAAATAAGCCATACTTTACTGTTCTAGAGGAGCAGAAATCTAGAATCATTAGGAGCTCTGCAACTGGCCATGCTTTACTATTCTAGAGGAGCAGAAGTCTAGAATCATTAGGAGCTCTGCAACTGATCTAGATGCCTCATTTTGGACTTTTACTGAATGTGCTTGCAGCTGAGATGGGGCCATATTTAAAGTGCAAAGGAAAACGGTGATGCTTACAAACAATAATGGATTTTTACATGCCAAAATGTGACATTGAATAAGACTCTGAAAACATCAAAATTAATAGTATTTTAAATATCTTGCTGTTACTCTAAAGGAAGTGTTTGTAACATGTCCTCTGTAAACCCGTGGTCCTCAGTCCTCAGTTTAGTGAATTTAGAAGTTCTGCATAGTGAAATTTGTTAGACAGATGAGGATCTCTGTCTTTTACTAGCAGCCATGGGCTCCTATACTCAGAATAGCAGAGACTGAAAACCAGAGGATGTGCATAATTCCTTAATTTTAAAATCTGGTTTATCCCATATTAAAACAGAAACACTACAATCACAAAGGAGTCACATCCATGTAACTAGAAACAGAATTTGACCCTTGTAGCTTTTATTTGTCTTAACTTCATTCATAAAATATTTTTGGGGTGAAATTTCTTTCACTAGTTGACAAAGGTTTCT